GCTGTCGAGGGTGCGGCGCCGGGCGGGGTCCGGGTGCGTTTTCAGGGCCACACCACCCCCGCTAAGGGCTTCGCGCTCTCTGCCTGTGTGGCTGCGACCTCGCACCTTCAGCTCTGGGATCATCCGGGACACCTGGCCTGGCTCCGCCCACAGCGCCTGGTGGAGAGGGCACGTTTGCTGGGGGTGGGGGTCCTCGACCCGCAGGACGAGACGCCGCCCAGGACGCTGGCTCGCGGCACCACCTAGAGGGGTCGCTTCTAGCTTTCCCGGTGTGATGCAGGCAAGAAACAGAGTTCCCGCGACCTCCACCGGTCTCTGTTCAGGTCCCTGTGTTCACTCTTCTGGCTGCAGGTCCCCTCCCAGGCCCTGACCTCCTCAGGCTGCAGCTTCCAACCTCTGCTTTTTCCAGGCTCCCAGCTGCTGTGAGTCCGAGCTCTGCTTCCCCTGAGACTCCAGTCAGGTTAGAGCACAGCGAAAGCAGCAGGAATGTTGGGGTGCTGGGCACGTGACAGGCCAGCCTCTTCTGGGTGTGATTCTGACACCAGGGCCAGGTTGGGCTGGTGACAGCTGGGCCCTTGGAGACAGCTTGCGCCTCCCCAGGATGGCCTCTCTCCTGCTCCACTTCCTCCTAGACCTTCTGGTCCCTTCTGCTCAAAAGTGGCTAAAGGTTTCTTCTGTCTAATTCCTGCAGTCCTGAAAAGCACCTAGTTAGAGGCAGAAGACTCAGGAGACTTGAAAAGGGTAGAGCTGACAGACTCTCTGGGCCCGTGGTTTTGTTCGGATTGAGGGTCAGCCAGGAGCACAGAGTCCCACAGAACCCTAGGCAGTGGAAATGATCAATGCTGTGCAGGAGGTGCTGAATATGGTTCTCACTGGAAAGTTCCTGCAGTGAGCCGCAGCCAGGATGCACCCCAAAACAGGTGTCAAACGCACTCTTCTCACCAATGAAATCTCAAGGGGAAGTCACAGGTGGCTTCAGGAGGGGCATCATGCAGATAGCCCTTCCACAGGGCTGACGAATCACCCTGAGCAAAGCACCAGGCCACCTCAAGTCCGGAAATTAGATCCCGGTTTGGAAAAGGCAGGCCTCTTCCTTCTGCTGTGGCCACCTGACCAGTTCGCCCTGTCAGTGGCTCTGTCCTGCAGCTTGGTCCCTGAGTAGGGTCTGGGCTGCCGCTGCTCTGCTCGAGTTGCACAGACCACATGTCCACACCACTGTCTAGTGAGACGGGCACTGTCCTTTCCCACAGTGCTAATAATGCCCCTCACACATGGTGGCCTCTACACCCATCTCATTCAGAGCCGTGGGGCCCAAGTGCAGCCTCTCACTGCGGAGAACACACAGCTGGGGTGACCTCACCAGCCCTCAGGAGGAGGTGGGAGGGGATGGCGTGGCACATAGCTCCTGCCAAGCTGGGGCCAGCCTGTGGAGCTACTTGCAGAAAATGATTCCTGTGGATGCCTGGACCCTCCTCTCTCCTAGCAGGAGGACTGGCCCCACCTCATAGCTATCCTGTCACATCTTCCAGGGCTTGGTGGCTGGGCTCTCCAAGGACCTGGGGAACACTGCAAGCCCAGACAGGGGTGGGGGTGAGGGCCTGGGTCTTCCAAGACCCCATGTGGTGACTGCTGAAGTGGGTAGGAGAGATGGACAGATGGACAGAAGCCTTGTGGAGGCCACTGCTGACCCGGCCACACTCTCACACCAACAAGTTTCAGGGAGGGGACCAGGACCCTCCCCCATGCCAGAATGAAATGGCATCCCGGAGCCGGGCTACCAGACAGGACATAGCCTTGGCATTGGCAATGTAGAGGGAATGGGTCCACTCACGGTGCAAGCCAACCTCCAGGGGTACACTATACTGAGGACATGCCAGACATGAAGGGTAGAGGGGCTCTGGGGGACATGTCCCTTGGGAGCCACTCTTGGCTAGGATCTGGTGTGTAGTTAGGGCTGATTCTGTAAAGTATTCTGGAAGCCAGTGTAGGTCCTTTGGGAAACATGGGTGAAGGTGGCCTAGGCCCTAGGTTCCAGCTCCTAATCCCTGTAGGCCAAGGAAGGTACAGGACTTGGACATGCCTGGAGGAGGAGGAAGTGGACAAGGTCCAGACAGGGACCCTGTCTGAGAGACAAGACTTCCCTGAGAATGTCCTCAATGCCAGGACAGACTCCAGCCCATTTCAAGCCATCAGGAGGGTGGGGTGGGGGATATGGTTCAGGGCCAAGGTCTTGCCCATGGCCTTCACCACTGGCAGGCTCTGGGTAGGTTTCGTCTCTTGGTGTTCATTCTATGTGGACAGTCCTGGAAGGTGGAGATGAGAACGGCCATGAACAGCCTGGGGCCTGTTGGTCATGTCCTGCTCCGGTGGAAAGAGAAGAGGAGGAAGAGGACAGACACATGGGCTCAGGCCACAGGGCCATCTGGGGTGGATACTACTTCTCCCTGTGACACCTGGGCTGACCCTTAGGCTGGCCCTCTGCAGCCTCCACCAGGCCCCTTCCAGGGCTCATCCTGTGCCCAGCGGAGGAAGAGGACTTACTAGGACTGGCTTCACATTTATTGCCATCAAAACTCTTACAATTTCCTATAGAACATTCCAGACTTTTCTCCAAAATTAAACTTCTGCCATCAGCACCACCAGTGACCTTACAGGGTTGCTTCAGGGCTGCTTAAGTGCAGCTACAGAGGTTTGGAAAACCGAGTCCTGGTGAAATGTCAACCCTGAATTAGCCAGCAGAGAGCCCACACGGGTCCCGGGCACTGGCCCTGCTCCAGAGCTGCACCTCGGAGACCCTAAGATGCGCTGGCCCCTTGGAGTGGTCAAGCCCTCCTCATACCCTGGCACCAGGTTGGGCCTCCCTCAGCAGCTGGCTATAGGTTCTCAGGCTGCACCATCCCTTGCGGTCTTGAGGGTCTGCAGCACATGCTCCTCTTCCTAGGCATTGTTCCTTGGGCTCAGGAGGGCACTGCACCAGGGCTGTGGTGGGTGCAGGCTTCTGGGAACTTGCTGTGGTTATTGGCTACATCAGGGACTTGGGTACCCAGCACTGCTCTAGATGTCTGAAGACCCAGCCCTTCCCGCACCCGTAGAGGTGGGGCTGGTGCTGAGAAATTGCCCAGGTGTAAACACAACCCTGCTCCCAGAGGGTGGTTGTGGTGTCCACAGGGATTCTGTCACAGTTCCTGGCCTGAGAACTCTGTCTTGCCAGTTTGTGGATAGCTCAGGGATTCATAAGAGCAACACACATATCCTTGGTGTCCCCGTCACCAACCCCGAGGGCTCTGACTGCCCCCTTCTCATTTCTGCCCTATGTCTGTATCTTAAATTTGAGGCTACATAGCAACCACATGGCTCTTAGCCAGCAGCCCCTTTCTGAAGTCAGGAAGTGCTGAGAATATTGACAGACAGAAAATGTACTCAAAAAGTGCTTCATGCATGACCAGTGACACCTCGGCAAGGCATCTGCACAATCATTGCAGCTGTCCAAGGCTGAGGGCTGCTGCCGTCCACAGCACCTCCAGAGCATCCTGACTTCGCCAGTGATGTCCAAAGCCCCTCTGCTGGCCATACAGGAGGACAGTGCAGCCTGGTGACTGGAACAGTGTTCAAGGAGGCCTCCCACTGCCTGCAGGGGAGCAGAGTCCATGTGGCTTGGCCAAGTTGCAGATGACCTGGCTAAGGCTTTCCACGTCCACCGTGAGCCCACGTCTACCCTCCAGATTTGGGCTCTGCTGTCCCACGCTCTTGTCTTTCCCGACCTTGCTCCAGCCCTAGCTGGTCTGCTCTTGTCTGTGCCTTTTCCACTTAGGATTCTGGCTCCAGCTGCCCATCTCAGACGAGGTCCAGGTGTCTGGGGAGTAGCTTTCTGAATGTGCTCTTGCTCCAGCGTGCTTTCCCATCGGGCCCCGTCAGATCTGCTCAAGGTCGGGCTGTGAAGTGTGATGAGGTGCTGACCATGCAAGGTGCTGTGGTGCCTAGACCGAAAGTGGCTGTTGCTGGAAGCGAGCGCTGGCCCCTAGCTCCTGAGCAGCAGATGAGCTGGTTGATGTATGCTGTGCCTCAGAAGCAAGGTCACAGTGCAGAGAGGGCAGGATGTGTATAGGCATTAGCATGCTTCCCAACCCTGCGTGGCCCTGCCTGCTGTGTTCGAAGGGAGTATGGCAGGTGGGTTGCCAGTGTGCATGTGCCCCGTCTGTGAGACAGCAGATCCTTCCACCTTCTGCGAGTGGAATTTCTCCGAGCCTGGGAGTGATGGTAATGTGCATCACGACAAGGGCTTGTGCAAGCCCATGGGTCTGTGTATCAGCAGAGAGCAGGGCAGGTCTGGCCAAGGACTTTTAACCAAAAACCATCTTAGAACTAACTGCAGGTGTTCATAGTTTGTGAAAGATCTTAGATCAGTAAAATGGGAAAAGGAATTCTTAGCACAGATTTAAAGATGAGTACAAGCATATGCAGTCTATAACCTACACACTGTGGACTGCCTAGAAAATAATAACAGCGGTCAATATTCCTACAGCCTTCTGCATCATGCCATGTCTGGAGATGGACTCGGTCAGTGGGATTTTGGAGTTTCTCTGGCATTAGGAGCAAGGAAATGGTCCAGACTTTCCATTGGTGTTTGGTTTTTTGTTTGGGTTTTTTTTTTTTAAAGAAAATATTTAGCACTCTCAGACCTCACCATGGCATAATCAGATTATCTCCCCAGAAGCTAAGGCTTCAGCCTGGACACCATCACATCTCCCTCTTTCTTCAGGATCTGCAGGAGGGGGACACAGGACATAGAACAAGTTAGCAAGGTGACAGTTCCAAGGTCAGCAGGGGGGCGGCTGTCACTTCTACTAAGACTCATCCATGGGCTGAGGATAGTGGTGTGACTGCACTGGCTGGTGCTGCCTCTCCTGTCTGGGGAGAGAGCAGCAGAGTTTCAGGTCAATCCCAGTGACCTTTCGCCCACTCAGATCCCATTCACGACAGCAGTCACCTATGAGCTCATCAAGGGGTCCATCCGTGATGAGCCCAGCATCCCACAGCCCAGTCACCTTGCAAGCCCACCTTGAGTACAGGAGTTATCTGGGGGGCATTCTCAGTATACAGGCAGGAAGGCTGTAATGTACTGCAAAGGTGAGGAAGTCTGCACCTCAGGTGGCCACTTCATGGAGCAACCCTCATGCTGCCTCAGCATGTGGAACTCTGGAGCCTGAGGAGCATATGAAGGGACAGGCAGCCACTCTCTGCCGGGCATAGTGCACAGTAACTGCCACCACCTGCCACCCCAGCCCTTCTCATTTGTTCACAGATGGCTCGCTGATGTGTGTGGGGTGCTCTCTGGGAAATCAGGTGTGCACTGTGTCTACCCCAGTGGCGCCGTAGCCTGGCAGTAGGCTCCTCACCTGCAGCGTGTGTGGAAGGACCTAGAGTGGCAGGCCATCCCCTTTGTAGCTAGACCTTTAAAGAGATCTTCCAGATCACTGCCTGACCACAGAGATAATGGGAGAGAACTCTAATTTCAGGTAATAAATATTTTGCAAAAATCACAAACAGATGACTCTAGCCTTCAAGAAGTAAAAATTTACACTCTCTGTGGAGTAGGAGAATCCTATTCCGAGAGTTACCACCTGCCTTTTAAAAAAAAATAGTGGGGATTCTCTACACACACACACACACACACACACACACACAGCCCTTTTTATTTTGAAACAGGATCTCAGTAAGTGACTGAATTGCCCAAGTTGAGTTTAAACTCAGATCCTCCTGCCTAGCCTCCCAAAGTGCTGGGATTACAAGTGTGTACCACCATGTCCACCTAGTTACCATATTATAATTCTCAGAGTATCCAATCCTCAACAAACTACTACAAATCACACAAAGTAACAAGAAATATGGTCCATTCGCAGAGGAAAAGGACTTTGGTAAAAAAAACCCTCCCTGAGGCAACTCAGACATTTGAATTGCCAGGCAGAAACATGAAATTAGCTACCTTCAATGTGCTCAACAAGTGGAGGGAAGTCATGAACAAAGAATAAAGGAAATTGGAAAAATTAAGTATGAACAAATGAAAATGTAACACAGACAGGATGATAAGAATGAATGGGGAGAAACTCAGGAGCCTGAAAACTTACCTTAAAGGGAAAGTTCCCTGGAT